AAGTGATTCTCGAGTATTGAACGATTCGTTCATGATTCGCACATCACTACCCAGTGCTGGATGGGACAACGTACAACACGGCAGCTGGAACAACCTTCAGAAAACATGTTTGTGCTGTTTTGTTGTATTTGCATTGAACAGCATGTTGGAGAGTGACAGTGACAGACCTTCACACTGAACATTATTTTTGCTTAACATTGTGCAGCTTTAGGAAATGCAGAAATCCTCTTTTTTAATTTGTTCCATTTCATTTGTTTTTCTCTTTTCCTTTTTTAAACCAAGTGATTGTGATTTTGTGTAAAAAGAAGTCGATTTCAATTCGTGGAGAATAAATGAATGAGAGTCATTTGTGTTAAATATCAGCCTATTTATTAGTTCTGATCTTGTCATAATGTTTGTACCTCAATCATTCATAACTTTAACTGATACTGATTTCCCAGGATTAATAAAGATGTATTGCATACTTCTCCCATATTACTCCAGCCTTGCTGTTCTCATGTTGTTCCCCTGCCACCTTGGATGGTTTAAACTCCTGGCGTACTTGGCAATGCCCAGAGAGGCGATGGACGAAAGATCACCTCCAAGTTTCAGAAGTAAGAATACTCGAGTGTCACAGAGCTGTTAAAGCTGAAAACCCTTTTTTTTCAACCCTCATGTCCAATAATAGCGACAAACCACACTTTCTTTTTAGTTAACATTTTGGCTAACATTAGAATTTGTTTGATGATGTAATCCATTTAAGTGTGAGAAATGTGCAAAGAAATGAGGAAGGGGACAAATATTTTGTCATGGCACTCTGAATGCTCCCAGCGGTCACTTACACTGAAACAAGACCCTGAGGTCTGTTCCCTCAGTGTTGACAGATCCAACAGAGAAGTTTAAGTTTTGATGATTTACCTGTTCCACACGGCAAAGTTTATCCACGGTGCCCTGGTAGCGGTTCATACAGTCCTCAGCCAGGTGGAGGTGGGTTGAATACTGAGCAGGGAGAGAGAGACGCTGCCAGTCAGGCTGACAAAGTGACCATCAGATCTAAACTTTATTAAATTTTAATAATATTCTTAATATTTTCTACATGACGCTTCTAAATGAGCTTGTTTCCTCGTGCTGTTTGTCATGAAGTGTCAGATTATCCACACATCTCTACATCAATATAGTTCACAGCTATAACCAAATTCAACATATTAAACAAAATATTCTCATATAAGAATAAAAAGACAAAAACTTTATAATAATTTATGCTTATGCTGAGGGGAAAGCAGCACTTTGTATGTACTTCACAGTAGCAGAAGAAGCTGCTACTGTGTTTTATTTTGCTTTCTGTCATGTCTGCAGTATAATTCTACAACATCATGATTCATATTAAATGTGACCACAATTGTGAATAACGAGGTAAACATATACGCAGATTCCATGAACGCTGTTGTGACTTTAGCTCCGACCTTGCTGAGCTCTTTCTGATACTGAGGCATTTTCTTCAGCATCTGCGAGAGTTCCTTCATGGTGGTCTGAAACACAAGGAGACACCTGCAGTGAATAAAATGTCTTCATTCATC